CCAACAGATCACCCGCTCAAAATTAATTTCTATAGATCAATTACATTTATACTAACTATAATTATATTACTAATTTAGTTAAATATAATATTACATATATAGGTATAGGTTAAAATTATTGTATAGAGGAGACAATCAATTTTTTAACTATTTAATTAAATTTTTTTTAATTAAATAAACACATTTGTTCTCTAACAAAAAAAAAGGGGGAAAGAAATTGCATTTCTATAATGAGATAATTAAATTTCTCTTCCTTTTAAGTGCTTTTATAAGTGGATAGAATATGTAAGCTCTTTCACAAAGGCCTTTTTTCTAGAAAAAAAAACTTTTAAAAATTGATATACAGGCCTTCTGCAACTGCTCATTGTTAACAGAAAGCATTGGGTTTGCAAGGGGCAGGTGTTACCGAAAGCTTCCTAACTTGTAATTTTGGTCTAGTACCTAATCTGACAAAGAGAAAGGAATTGAGTTACAGGAAATTTTTCACAGAATAAGAGCTCTAGAGTTGAATGTTATATTAGAAGAATTACTTGTGGATAGTGTCTCGACTGTTTCATTCATGAATGGAGAATGTGTAAAAAATTGCGACCATGTTAAATTTTTTATCACTTCACACTTAGTGATTCAGACGTTCTGTGAAGCGAGAGATTTTCTAGCTTCAAAAGCATTTATATTCATTTAAAAAAAGTTTTTAAATACAATTCATAATATGTAGATTCAATTAAAGAACTTTCTGAATATTTTATGCTTATTAAATATAATCTGTTGTATGCGGATGTAGTCGAGTAATTTAAACCAGTTTAGAACTTAACGTATAAAAAAGATATTATTTTGAAGAATAAAGTTTTACAGTGACTAAATTTATAAAATATATTTTACACGATTCCATTTCCACGCGTTTAGCATCATAAATTGAGAAATATCCGATTTCAAGTTTCTTAAAATCAAATTGAAAGTAGCTGTAAGTGAATCGAGTAGCATATTTTGATGGAGAATCAAGGCCTAAAATTCAAAAAATAAAGCTAAATATTATAAAGATGGCCTAATTTAAGGCATGAGTATCCTGTAAAGTTTCAGCTTGAGAAAAAAGAGATTTGAAAATTTAATTTTCCAAGAAGAAAATACGGTAGTTAAAGCAAGTCTAATTTTATATCTTGCAAGCTATAATTAATTTCCCGAATGAAAGATCGAAAAATTTTCGCAGGACTTTGTGTTGTTTTAACTCATTAGATACCATAGAAGTGAAATTATTCGTGAAGTATATTTAATTTTAGAATGGAAATCTAATGTATATAGACTCGTAGTTTCTTGACAGGAAGTCGTTTTGACTCATAGCAAAATTTAGCGAGTAGTAAATCAACAACTTTTAATAGAAATACATTAAAAAGGGCCAGCGAAGGCGTCCATTCCCAAAACGGCAATATATTCCTTTAGTTAGACTTGACTATCAAAAGGCCGAATGGGAAGACGTCAGCCGTCCTCGAGGGAGAAGCGAGTTCGCTTCAATTGTTTAGACTCAAATCCCTTGGGAGTCCGGAGACAGAAGCACATGCAATTTATGTTCATTAAATGGTGTAAAAGTTAATTACTGACGTGCAACTATCAGAAGGCCTTCTCGGCGCTAATTACTGTGTAGAACAGGTGTTAGGGAATAATAAATCATATCTATTAGATCTGTATAGTTAGAGGAAAATAAAGTTAAATTGCTGATGAAGATGATCTGCTTACTAATTGGTAAAAAGGTAAAGTGCTATCTGCTATGGGATCTACTGAATTTTTATGGTATTCATGCATTATTTACTTAATCTAATTATGGAGATTGTTTTACTTTTTTCAACAGAGGCATACTATTAGGCTGTCACCTTCTTGCATATTTCTACATGATCATTGACAAACAATCACACATCTGTCTTAATTTTTTATTGACTTATTATTAAATATGATAAAGTTCATTAAAGATTAATGAGATCGTTCTCCGTACATTACTTACGTACATTAAAATATTTGGTAAAACCAAATATTTTAACTCAAATTCTAAAAATTTGGCAACGTTAACCCTTTAACAATCTGTTACAGATAACAAATGAGTCAAGTTTAACTTTTTAGCTTATCCGCACAGCTTATATTTACTAGTTTCCTTGGCAGATACTTTATTCTATATTAATCTAAATTTAGTTTTGATCCGTAGGCAAATTTTAATAATATAAACTGACCTAATTCGAATCATGCAATTAATATCTCTGCTAGTTTGATTTCAATTGCATTATCTAATTTTTACTAATTAATGTGATCTCATTTATCACTTTCACATACTTTTACTACTTTAATTAGATCTAAATTAGAGGATATATTGTATTAATTAAGCATAAGAAAATCTGCATTAGTTTAGCTTTTAGCTCGACTATTGGCTTCTTTATTGAATTTGCTTAGTTACAGTTTATTAATTTCACTTAGAACGTGTAGTTTGTCTAAGAAAAATCTATAAATGCCTATAATTAAATTAATAGACTGTATGTTAAAGTCATCGTCTCGTAATTTCGCCAACAATTTAATCCCGATCTAACTCGAGATCATGGTTAGATTTCTCCTAATTTGATAAATTTTATGTTAAAATAACTTAAGAAAATCTGCACTCGAGTTAACTTCTACTGACTTTTCATAGATCTGTCTGGTTGTTGAGGAATTATAAAACAGGCAAAGAGATACGAGTTCTAATTAAAATTAATATTTTGAAATTTAATGTGGAGGAGATTTAGAGAATTAGTAATTCTTGATTCTTGACACTAATAGAGCGACTGCTGTAAAGATAGATTATTATACAGAGATTAAAGGAGCATTGTCAAATTTAAACTTATAAATTCAAATAGGCCGCATATCCTTTTTAAAACTCTCTTTATCCGAATTCAAATTTGTGCTTGGATAAACTAACAAAAACACATTTTTAAAGAGTCGAATAATGGATAGGCCTTTAGAAAATGAATGAATATAAAAGTAAAATAGAAGTCAGGAGTGGGGAGAGTCCATTGTTTCGTCAATAGAAGGTCCTCCCTCGGGCCTTGGAAGGTCCGAGTAAACATTACACAGCACACTTCACTTATTTGTACATCCCTAAGGCCTTGACATCTGCTGCCGAACAATAATATTGAATTGCTATCTAAACACGGGGCCTAAAAAATAGAATTAATATATAAATAACTTTTTTATTATTGTTTTTACAGCTTGCTCCCATCTTTAACTTCTTCTTTTCTTCTTCTTCAGGTGTAGCTTGTATCTTTGTCCTGGTATAATTAACGGCTGAAGTAATTTTGTTACGCTTCTCCTAATTACATTTGTGGGCCACAAAACAATCGGATTGTAGGTTATGTTGTTTTGTGGTAGAGCAATCCTTTTACTTTTATAGCACATTTGAGACGAACGAAAGAGAAATTTTTATCTTTATTAATTTAAAGGCAACTTTTCTTCTTCGGAGACGTGTTATAGTTCCCGAATCTCTAGATTTAATGATATTAAATCTAGATACAAAGCATATAATTTAATATTTCTTCTCTAAATTAAACTTCTAACACAACAGATAATTTAAGAAAAGTATCTGAACGGAAATTTTTTATAAGAAGATAAACACAGTTAAGATATGAAAGCACGTGACAAAGCAGGATCTTTTCGTTTTAAAGTGAATAAATTTCCTTACTTGGACTTAACTTATTTATTTATCTTAACTAGAGCTTTATTTATGACAGTAAGATAACTACAAATTCGTTTCGCTGTTTTAATTTTTAACGGCCCTAAAATGGGTTTATGTAATACCATTTATCTAAATTATTCGAGATATTTTACCAGAAAAGGTGTTTTCAAGGTTAGAGTTTTGCTTGACCTTCCCTGGGGTTGGGAGAAGTGGAGTTGTGACAGTCTATCTTTCCTAGACTAGATCCAATCACGCTTATAAATTACTTCTACTTGTCTCTTTGCAAGCGAGTTGTTGACAAGTTGTTGTTTCACCGTAAGTGGTCTTGTAAGAAAGGAAAAAAGCAGGTAGTGTGGCATATACAGGTGCCCGGAGTGAAGTGACAAAACAATGAAAATGACACGTCTGACAATATCCTGACATGTCAATTCAGCATTTCTTCACATCGACTCCGTAGATTTACCCAGGGAGAGAGAATTTAATACTTAAGTTAACCTTTGGTATGCGTTGGAGGCATCGCCGCTCCTTACAAACTTGTTCATTCTTGCATTAAGAGCCAGACATCTGCTGTAGCGTAAAGTTGATGTAGATGCGTACAAAACTCGATTTCGGTTAAGATAATTTGTAAAGGTTAAGTTCTTTGAGAAGGGCAAACAACTTTACAAAATAACTTCTTTATATGTTCGTAAAGTAGATTCTTCGGGATGTCCCAAAAGAGGAACTTCATCTAATCGTAAAATGTATTCGAGCGTCGCGATTAACAAAAGTCATTTCTATGAGTAAACATTAGTAGCACCCGGATTCGGTGTTAAAAATCACGTAGAAAAGAAGAATAAAAAAAGAAAAGTGACGTTAACAAAATAGAAAAGAAAAATCCGAAAGCAACTGCCAACGACCCGCGACATCCTCTTCGTGTTTTCCTTCCAATTACACCAAAACCAACTCAGTAAAAGTCCATGAATCGAGTAAAGAAGGAAACTTGACACATAGTTGGAAAGATCTTTTGGGAGAAAGGAATCTCCTGAGACCCGAGGGGAAAAGTTCCATCCAACCAACTCTATTGTATTTGCAACATCGCCTCTTTTCCGCATCTCGATCGACCCGAAAGACTTTCTTCTCTAAGGAGTCAATTCGACCACATTGTCAGCCTATCGAATCAATAAACTACATCTAAATTACCTACTCTCGCACTTCTAATCCATTTAAGGCTACCATCTGCCTTCTATCTCGTTAATAATCGGGTGGGGGTGGAAAGAAAAGCCATACGAGTCTCGGCGCGTCCGGAGACTTGGCTCTCTTTTAATACTTCAGCACTCACCTTAGTAGTCCCATGACATGGTATTGTTTCCTCTCATTGTCTGTTATAAGTCCTGTGTACCGTCAGCACCATACTACTACTCCAGCACTTCTAGTCTCCGATAGACGCTCTAGCTGGGAGGTGTATATACAGCGATTGTTGTGCCCTCTGGTGCGCGTTTCCTTAACCATGCGGTGACGGAGAAGAGAAGTGGTCAGGTACAAGTGTTATTCCCACCCCTTACTCGGGTTGGTTGGATGCTTTGCCTCTCCTCTACCAATTGTATCACCTTTTCAGACTCGCTGCACGTGTATTTCTCTCTAGGAGTTTTCTGCAAAAAAAAAGTTTGAAAAAATTTAGAAAGACGTCATTCCTCTGTTTGAAAAGTGAAGTATTCTTAAATTAAATTATTTAAAAATTTATTTAGAGTACGAAATTTTATTTTTTAACACGTAAATATATATATTCTGTTTAAATTAATATTAATGTTTGTGTTGAGCGATAAATTTTTTATACAGGTAATTTGGAGGTCTTTTTTTGGATACTTTTGTCTTGAACTACAATGAACTTGTTTTATTCTTTTATATATGTANCTTTCTTATATATTTATTTATAATTTTCGATAAGTTTAAAATTTTTTTATATAAAAATATTTTCAAATTTTTATAGGTGTTAATTAATTAATTTGTGAAAAAATCTCTACGAGTTAGTGCATCTTTACAGGTATGGTATATAAAATGTCTACTTATAAAAAATTTCAGGGATAAATTGGGATTTTTGGCTCTAAAATAATAAACTTAAATTAATTAAAATTATTTTTCCTTGAGCAATCTCAAATCATTTTAAAATCTAATTTGGTTACAAGCCAAGATTTTAAGAAAAAAACAACAAAAAAATTCTGTATCCAGCTACGTTCCCAGGTATAAAGTAGCTTTTCCAGAGCGTGAAAGATCAGTTTAATAATAATGTACTGTACAGCTTTAATACTTCGTTAGGCCATCTTGAGCATTCTGATAACTTTAGATCGTTAAGTAAAAACTTTTATACTATAAGCTTTTTCGTATTTTCATCACAGCATCCATCTACATCATTTAACACTCATCTTCAGCATCACTTTCCGATCTAGTATTTTCGTTCTACGCGGTATCTGTAGTTACTTCACCCCCTCAACTTCATCACCTCAGATGAATATTGGCACATCACAAATCAATGTTTTATCGCAGCAACATTGAAAACGTCGTCCAGATCTCATAAATAAGCCAGCATGTTGAACACGTCAATCAATTAAGCTGTTATATGGTTGAAGTATAGTTATTCAATAAGTTAACGGTGTGTTGAATAAATTTAATGGAAATGACAATTTATTGTATTTCCCTGACAAGTCTTTATCGGGTGTGAGTTAGTGGGCTACTTTCCAAAATATCTGTAGAAATCTTTTTTTTCCTTCCCCCTTCTCCCTCCTGCTCCTCCTTTTCCTCCTGCATCAAGACGAACAATGATAATGGTTAATAATGAAGTAGTACATTCGGCTCTTTATAGGTCGTAAATAGAAAATAGTTTAGGCTGATTTGTGGCCATAAAGTTTAGGATGATAATGAATTTAATGTTTACTTTTCTTATTTTTCATATTTAAAAACATCCGATGGATATTTTCGCTAGTTTTATCATTCCTGAGTTAAATTATAATATTTTCGTTTAATTACAAAACTTTTTCTCGCTTGTTATTATTATTAAAGACTAGCAACCAACGATAATTTCCCTTTTTCCTGCAATTTTTCTTCGCTGTTTATTCAAATTTAATCAAATTCCGCCAGCTTAGATAACATTATAGTAATTTATCGGCCGTATTGGGAATTGTTGGTCGTGATGCAAGAATTATTCCTGTTTCGTAGGGATTTTTCCCGTATTTGACGAAATTATTCCAATGTTTATCGAATAAGAATATATGACCATCGATATGATATCGATGATTGAAAGTAGAAAAAAAACTTCAGGGATATTTCGGAGACTTTAGGGATATTTTTAAAGATATTTCGTGGATATTAGGGATTTTAACTTCATCCAAACACGCTTCGATAACACACACGTTTTCCCCCTATCGTAACATCCCTAAGGCCTTGACATCTGCTGCCGAACAATAATATTGAATTGCTATCTAAACACGGGGCCTAAAAAATAGAATTAATATATAAATAACTTTTTTATTATTGTTTTTACAGCTTGCTCCCATCTTTAACTTCTTCTTTTCTTCTTCTTCAGGTGTAGCTTGTATCTTTGTCCTGGTATAATTAACGGCTGAAGTAATTTTGTTACGCTTCTCCTAATTACATTTGTGGGCCACAAAACAATCGGATTGTAGGTTATGTTGTTTTGTGGTAGAGCAATCCTTTTACTTTTATAGCACATTTGAGACGAACGAAAGAGAAATTTTTATCTTTATTAATTTAAAGGCAACTTTTCTTCTTCGGAGACGTGTTATAGTTCCCGAATCTCTAGATTTAATGATATTAAATCTAGATACAAAGCATATAATTTAATATTTCTTCTCTAAATTAAACTTCTAACACAACAGATAATTTAAGAAAAGTATCTGAACGGAAATTTTTTATAAGAAGATAAACACAGTTAAGATATGAAAGCACGTGACAAAGCAGGATCTTTTCGTTTTAAAGTGAATAAATTTCCTTACTTGGACTTAACTTATTTATTTATCTTAACTAGAGCTTTATTTATGACAGTAAGATAACTACAAATTCGTTTCGCTGTTTTAATTTTTAACGGCCCTAAAATGGGTTTATGTAATACCATTTATCTAAATTATTCGAGATATTTTACCAGAAAAGGTGTTTTCAAGGTTAGAGTTTTGCTTGACCTTCCCTGGGGTTGGGAGAAGTGGAGTTGTGACAGTCTATCTTTCCTAGACTAGATCCAATCACGCTTATAAATTACTTCTACTTGTCTCTTTGCAAGCGAGTTGTTGACAAGTTGTTGTTTCACCGTAAGTGGTCTTGTAAGAAAGGAAAAAAGCAGGTAGTGTGGCATATACAGGTGCCCGGAGTGAAGTGACAAAACAATGAAAATGACACGTCTGACAATATCCTGACATGTCAATTCAGCATTTCTTCACATCGACTCCGTAGATTTACCCAGGGAGAGAGAATTTAATACTTAAGTTAACCTTTGGTATGCGTTGGAGGCATCGCCGCTCCTTACAAACTTGTTCATTCTTGCATTAAGAGCCAGACATCTGCTGTAGCGTAAAGTTGATGTAGATGCGTACAAAACTCGATTTCGGTTAAGATAATTTGTAAAGGTTAAGTTCTTTGAGAAGGGCAAACAACTTTACAAAATAACTTCTTTATATGTTCGTAAAGTAGATTCTTCGGGATGTCCCAAAAGAGGAACTTCATCTAATCGTAAAATGTATTCGAGCGTCGCGATTAACAAAAGTCATTTCTATGAGTAAACATTAGTAGCACCCGGATTCGGTGTTAAAAATCACGTAGAAAAGAAGAATAAAAAAAGAAAAGTGACGTTAACAAAATAGAAAAGAAAAATCCGAAAGCAACTGCCAACGACCCGCGACATCCTCTTCGTGTTTTCCTTCCAATTACACCAAAACCAACTCAGTAAAAGTCCATGAATCGAGTAAAGAAGGAAACTTGACACATAGTTGGAAAGATCTTTTGGGAGAAAGGAATCTCCTGAGACCCGAGGGGAAAAGTTCCATCCAACCAACTCTATTGTATTTGCAACATCGCCTCTTTTCCGCATCTCGATCGACCCGAAAGACTTTCTTCTCTAAGGAGTCAATTCGACCACATTGTCAGCCTATCGAATCAATAAACTACATCTAAATTACCTACTCTCGCACTTCTAATCCATTTAAGGCTACCATCTGCCTTCTATCTCGTTAATAATCGGGTGGGGGTGGAAAGAAAAGCCATACGAGTCTCGGCGCGTCCGGAGACTTGGCTCTCTTTTAATACTTCAGCACTCACCTTAGTAGTCCCATGACATGGTATTGTTTCCTCTCATTGTCTGTTATAAGTCCTGTGTACCGTCAGCACCATACTACTACTCCAGCACTTCTAGTCTCCGATAGACGCTCTAGCTGGGAGGTGTATATACAGCGATTGTTGTGCCCTCTGGTGCGCGTTTCCTTAACCATGCGGTGACGGAGAAGAGAAGTGGTCAGGTACAAGTGTTATTCCCACCCCTTACTCGGGTTGGTTGGATGCTTTGCCTCTCCTCTACCAATTGTATCACCTTTTCAGACTCGCTGCACGTGTATTTCTCTCTAGGAGTTTTCTGCAAAAAAAAAGTTTGAAAAAATTTAGAAAGACGTCATTCCTCTGTTTGAAAAGTGAAGTATTCTTAAATTAAATTATTTAAAAATTTATTTAGAGTACGAAATTTTATTTTTTAACACGTAAATATATATATTCTGNAAGAGTCTTGGAAGTTTAGAGCATTTATTACTTAAATATATCCCAACCAGTAGACCACGAACTCCTGAAAGCTCGCCAAACATATTGCCGAATAACGTCACAGTTTAAAGGTTGGGAAATTATAATATTTAGGAAAGATGCTTCTTAATTAATTAAGGAATTTGTTATTGGAAAATGCTTAATAATTTTAATAAAAATTAAGAGTTTTTACATTAAAAAACTCATTAGATTACTCTTTAATTATCGTCATTTTTTGCAGTTGGTTTCTAGATAGAAAAAAATATATATAAAAGAGAATTGTAACATTTGCTCTTTCCTCTTCTTAAGTGTGGTCGAGTCCTTTATAAGAGCCCTCAGATTTCCTTTGAAAAGCTGAAGATCCCACAACAGATGTTTGTTAGTCATCTTATGTCTCATAAATAGGTGCAAACAAAGAATTCTTATAACACATGCTATTTATAGTAAAAGTTAACCCATACAAGACCGAAATTAGTGGGTTTTTGCAAATAGAATGTGCCTCATCTCAAAGCCCTTCATGCCTCATCAGCAGAAGTTCTTCCTCCAGTTTGGGAATAAACATTAATCATGGCGAGATGATTTTTTTCTCACTCTTTTGTTTTTCTTTTTAAAATTAAGTGAAGCAGAAAATATTAAAAACGTTAGAATTTAACACTTAAGAGGGTTTAGAAGAGTTTGGCTTGAAGGAAACGGCTAATTATAAAAGGCTACGCTTGAAGAAGCAAGGAACTTGAATATCAATTTTCTGTCCAAAATATAGTTGTATGCATTAGTAATTATATAAAATATTCTTGTATAATATGTATTGTACTTGTTTAAATTTGCTAAAGTTACATTCAAATTTTTATTTA